GACTTTTTCAGCTCAAACACGCAGGACCAAATGAGAAACTGTCTSCAGTAAAACAGAAAAAAGTATCTGTTTTTAGCCCTTGTTTAAATTTAAATATTGTCTCTTTTTCACAGTTTGTCATGTGATTGTATGTGACACAGTAACACAAAGTAGTGCAGATTATTAGTGATCAAACAGCTTCATGAAAACCAAGGAAGAAGCAGGTCAAAGATAAAGTTGTTGAGAAGTTAAACTCAGAGTGAGGCTGTAAAACAACACGCTCAGTCCATCATCTGCAAACAGAAACAAACAGAGGAGGAGGAGGAGGAGGAGGAGGAGGAGGAGAGCCTTCCTCTGAGGAGCAGAAGCCCCACGCCAACTGTGGAGGAGCTGCAGAGACCCCCAGCTCAGGTGGACCACCTGTCCACAGGACACTCCACACACCTGCTCTTTATGGAGGAGTGGAAGAAGAAAAGCCTGCAGGAAGAACAAACCACGGAGGAGACACAGCAAACGTGTGTTTTGTTGGAACCAGAACTAAACAGAACCTTTGGACTAAACGCAGATGAGCCCTGAACACACATCCCCACTGTGAAGCACGGTGGTGGCAGCGTCATGCTGTGGGSAGGGGTTTCTTCAGCAGCCACAGATGTGAAGATGGATGGAGTTCAGTCCAGGACCATCCTGGTCCTGAAGAAAACCTGTTAGAGGTCAGAATGGTCCAGTCAAAGTCCAGACCTGGATCCAGCTGAGGGTCTGGACTGAGCTGCAGCTGGTTCACACAGAAGAACGGGACAAAACTGGAGTCTACATGAAAACCTGCTGGAGACAAACTTTAAAAGACTTGTTAGAGTTCTGCCTCGGGGTCATGGACAGGTAGATGTCAGGTGTTTGAGCACCTGACCTTTTCCCTCAATCCACCAGGTGCTCCTGTTGAACCTGCCCCTTATAATGCTCCATCTGCTGGTTGAATTAAACTTCACTTCCTGTTGTCTGTAATGATAATTAAGGCAAATGTTAGGAAAATAAAGTTTGAATTTTTCAGTTCTCTTTGAGAGAATCAGCTTTAGTTTATTATTATTATTA